ATTCATTGAGATCTCCATCCCCCAAACATTCAGAAAAATCTATTCACAGTAAATTTTGTGAGGGTTTCATTCTGATTCATTCTACAATTTGCCTTTGTTGGTTGTCTTTTTGTTTCCACAGTCTTGCTACTTAAGGAACTGTGAAGGATTTCAGATACTACTGCCTCCTAGCTGTAGGTGACAACAGTCATGGACACTGAGTGCAGGTATGGTGACAAGGGACATGATCTTGCCAGAGGTATGTAATTGACTAGGAAGTAACAGAGATGACTTATGTCTCTTTGCTCTTTCTCACAAGTGCTTGACTAAGTATTAATTTCCACACAGAAAGACCATTCTCTCTACATCTCACATTCTGAAACCATGGGTTGTAAAGTCACTCATATCCTATACACCCTGTACACATTGGAGGCACTAGACACACTGCTGTGGTTTCAACTTTGATTTCAATTTACCAAGAGTGAAATTTCAGAATGATGTGATTTAATATAAACAGATATGATTGAACCATTAGTTTCTACACTGTAGTTCTCAGCCTTCCTGATACTGAGTAATTGATATTTTTGCTCAACTCATCGGTTTACTATCTGTTGGTAGATCAGGAATTTGTCTAATGTTTTCCATGCAGTGAATAACTGAGTATTTTAGGGATTATCTTATGAAAAGTGATCGTATTTATTTCCCACTTCTTTACCATAAATTTATGGTTTAGGCTTTAGGAAAATAAGTAAATTAAAAAAGTATACAATTAAATACCAGTATTTACTAGATCTAGGGGAGAACCCTAAGTGTACAATTCCTCAGGAGGACAAATTCATGGACAAACAAAATAAACACCAGGAAAAAATACTCTAAAGATAGGGGTAGTGGGATAAAATGAAAGAAGTAAACAAATGAAGTGAGGCAAGGAGGGTATAAGGCAGTCGTAAAATTCAGTGCACAACTTAGAAAATTGACATAAGAAATGGTGTTGAGAGGGGATGATGGAGAACAATGAAAGGGATGACATAAAAAATAATATTTAGCTTTGCTTTAAAGATACTAAATAGGACCTCTATTTTTAATGTGCACATGGCCAAATAGCACATGATATAAAAACCACTGTTTCTTAATCAAGGAATTGTTTTGTAAAACTTGGGAGAGGTTTGATGATTTGGCTATTTCTCTTTGTGCATCTCACAACATAGTTATACAGATATCTCCATAGTAGGCTGACTGATTTTCTTTGAGGTGGGAGGTCTGTTCCTAGAGTGGTATGGATGGATTATATATGAGGTCTGTTTTTGGTTTTTAAGAAAACTCCAAACTAATTTCAATAAATCTGTATACATTCCCACCAACAGTAAATAAGAATTCGGTTTCCTCTGCATCCTCATAAGCATTTGTTATATTTCTTGTGTGTGTGCGCGCACGTGTGTGTGTGTGTGTGTGTGTGCGCGGGTGCGCGTACGTGTGTGTGTGTGTGTGTGTTTGTGTGTGTGTGTGCTGACTCTGGGGCTTGAAATCAGGGTTTAGGCATTGTCTCTGAGATTCACTGCTGAAGTATAGTCTTCTGGCACTTGAGCCAGAGTACCACTTCGAGCTTTTTAATCTCTCATGAACTTTTCTGCCCGAGCTGGCTTCAAACCATGATCCTAAGATCTCATCCTTATGAGTAGCTAGGATTACAGGCCTGAGCCACTGGTGCCCAGCTCTTAGTGGTTTTCTTGATGATAACCATTCTTGTTGTGGTTTTGATTTGTATTTCCTTTATGCCTAAAAATGTTGAACAATTGTTCATATATTTGCCATCTTATTTTGAAAACAGATAAGGAAAATATCCACTACTTGGTTATTAAGAAAAACGATGTAGTTTGCTAAAAATTGTATAGCCCTGGAGATCTTCATATTGGGTGAAATAGGTCATTCCCACAAAGACATATATCACATTGTTTTCTCTCATTTTTAGGAACTAGGAGAAAACAACCAAACCACCAAGGCCAATGATACAAAACGGGGATTACAGTGGACTGTTTTGTGTGTGTGTGTTTGTGTGTGTGTGTGTGTGTAAATGCATTAATAACATTTGTTGAAATGACATGAGCAATTTAATGTCAATGAAAACCTTGAGACATTAATTTGATATTTACTCTTAAATCACTTATGTTTGATGCATATCTTCACAGTAACATTTCTTATATATATTTTTAGAATCATAAATCATGAAAGTGTTCCTATCTTTTCTTCAGCACCCAATGTGGGTCTGATATGAAACAAAAAACTCACAACAAAAACATAAATTTCCTTAAACATGTGTGCCTTGTGTTCTGATTTTGCCTTCCAAATGGTTTTAGGCCTAAAAGGGGCAAGTGATTTTTTTTTCATGTCATGAAATTTTATTTAATTATCAAGGTGATGCACAGAGGGTTTACAGTTCCAAATATCAGATAAAGGGTACATTTCCTTTGGGCAATTGTTTTTCCCATCCATACCCACCTACAAGTTGTAATGTTCATTTTCAACATACAGTGATCTATTTTTAAGGCAGAATTGTTTCTATTTAAACAAAGGTTCCTGCAGATATATTATGGCTGTTACTAGGACAAAGGTAACAAGATTCCAGTAGAATGTACTCATGGGCTCTTCAATATTGATATAAGTGATGGAATATCAAAGCTTGTCTGAAATGATAGTAGCTTTTGGAAGGAGATACAACACAACAGAACAAGCTTGGGCAGATGTCCATGTGGAGTCATGTGCTGGAAGGGGAACAGCCTCTGCTCAGATCCTCTCACATTCCTTCCCCAGCGTCAGATGGTCCATGTTAAAAAAAACCCCACACATTCTGTGTTGTCACCAACCTTCAGAAAGGGAAGGTATGATTTTTTTCAATACCAGCTATTCATATATCCTGAGATTATAAAGTTTTATTTATACCGGACCCTAGACAACATACCCTTTTTTTAATAAGGTGGATCAGTAGGGATCATTGTACTGTCACTGCTTAATTCAAAATGGTATGTGGATTTATGTGAAAACCATGTGTTGCAGAAATGTACCTACCTGCACTGGGCCTAGGCTCTCTGTGCAGTTTCTTGTGTACACTTCCTGAGTTCATAGGAGAAACAACTCAAACTTGTTTCCTGTAACACATTCCTAGTTCAGCTTTCAGCTTATAGAGCTTTAAAGAATATGCAGATACATTGCTGGGCACCTGGGGCTCCTGCCTACAAACCAACTCACTCCTGAGTCTGAGATCAAAATCTTGTCTCCCAAAGTAGCTCAGGTCAGGACAAGGCCAACATCCCATACTTTCTCTCAAACCAACTACACTATCCTCCATCCATGATTAGTATTCTACATTCCAGCAAAAGGAATAACAAAAGGTTTTAGTATCTAGTTCCAAAAATCTCAGTAAACCATTAGCTAGTCAACTTCCAACATTCTGGAGAACAGGCTGATCTGCTTCTATGCTTTCTGGAATCCAATGCAACCCAAACCAGTGACCCAACAGCGCCAAGGATCACTAGACATGAATGGCAGCATGGCCTTCCCTACATACCCCCTACAGACCCCTATCATCCAGTGCCTGAGACAGCTTCTGTGAAGATTCCCAGAGAAGTGTTAATGGCAGATATAAGACAAACATAGGCTTTGCTAGTCAACATTCTGTCCTACGTGAATAGCCCGCAAGTTCACCAGATGATGTTCCAACTGAACCAAGTTCATTAGTTTGAGGAACATCCCAGAAAGCTGTCTTCCCAGGCTTCTCATCCTGACAAACCCAAAAGGCTTTGTGAAGTTTGTACTGATTAAATAACAGGATAGGGGAAAGGGGGGATCGAGGCTGAGTCTTCAGTGGCATTATGTCATTTGCTCATCCCTTCTAGAAGCTTCTTTGAGGAAGACCACAGACTGCCCATCCTTACACCAGCCGAAGGCACAAAGAGAAGTCAGTACATCTCATGACACACAAAGACTGTATTAAGCAATATGTATTTGAGGGGGAGACAGATTGTGCTCATTCACAAAAAGCAGATTTGCTTTACACGGAATGGAGTTAGTCCTCACAAAAATGAGGCTCACAAGGAAGTACATGATAAGCATAATATGCATGACTGCCTAACCCACCCTGAGGACATTGCCCTGGGTAATGGGTATGCTGCCCTGGGACATTTGTCTCCCTTGGACTATGCTGGCAGGCATGGCTGAGTAGAGACACAGGCTTTCTGGGAAGCAAGTCTGTCCCAGCGTTGTTACGGTTTGAGAGACTTCTGTCATTGAGAGGACAGCTATGGCCAGTGGGGCTGGTTTGGGGAAAAGAGACCCTGCTGGTCTTCATTTGGCCTCCTCCTTGGTAAGGAGGAGCCATGTGGGAGTGGGAATGTCTATCTGTGAGGGCTTGAAATTCTTTGTGGAAAGTTTTGTTGGAGGCAGAAGGCCTAAGGTGAATTTCTTC